TGAACTTGCGTATGAACTTGCGTATGAACTTGCGTATGAACTTGCGTTGTGTTCAGATGCATGTGTTGCAAAAAGTGGCAGTTTTCGTATGTTCTTTGCATATGTATTTTCTGCAGTCAAGGCACAATGTGTTTGTTTTCCGGTCTTTATTGCTTGGGCACACCTGACACCTCTTTCGTTTTGAAGCAGGTGGAGTTGTGGGTGTGGTCGATGTTGAAGCCCGGCTGCCTGAAGGGCGTGTTGTCACTGATGCACTTTGTGCAGCTGATGATGTGGTTGCAGTGGTGCTCCGGAGCTGTCTGACAACGTTCGCAGTGGCTGGGTCTCGGGGTATCCGTTCCCTTCTCTCAATGTATGGCTTGATCAACAAATTTCCTAGCTCCTGAAGGAACATTCTCCGCTTGTGGGTTTTTTTGGCGTTCCACCCCAAGTCAATCTGGGTCCACAAGACAAATGCATTGTATGCAGACACATCTAGGATGTTGTAAAATACAACCATTGGCCATCTCCTGGTCATTCGCTGGCAAGTGTAGGTGGCTGTCAGCTTGTCCAGGGTGTCCACTCCTCCTTTGTTTTTATTGTAGTCCAGGATGATTTCAGGCTTTTTGTCACTTCTTGTTGACACAGCTGCATCTTTGTGAAGAGTGGACATAAGTACCACACTCCGGTTCTTTTTGGGACAGTATGAAACAACACTGGTGGTTTCTGTAAAAGCAAATTTTGAAGACAGTGGAGCCCTGTCTTTCACCTGCAAAATTTCAAGGGGCAGCTCAGGTTTGTTTTTTCTTATTGTGCCCACCATGGTAAGTTTCCTCTTGAGAAGTTCTTGTCCAAGATCATAGCTGGTGAAGAAATTGTCACACGTGATATTGTGACCCCGCAGTCCAGTAGTCATATCAAGGATTACCCGTTTTCCTTGATTCTTCTCAGGGATGCCAGCTGCAAGTTTGCCTGTGTAAATCTGTAGATTCCAGGCATAGCTGGTTTTCGCATCACAGGCTGCCCAGATTTTTATGCCATATTTGCCTGGCTTACTGGGCATGTATTGCCGGAAGGGGCATTTTCCACGGAAAGGGAGAAGACGCTCATCCACTGTCACCTCTGGTCCTGGGTTGAACATCAGTGGAAGGAGCTTCACCCATCTATCCCAGACGTCTTTGATGGGAGCAAGCTTGTCAGACCGTGCTCTAGTATCTCTGTTGTCAAATCTGAGGACTCTTGAGATCATTTGAAAGGTCTGAAGTGACATTGTTGCGCGGAAAATACTCCTGCCTGTGGACACATCCCAGAGACTAGTAAGGGTCTCATTGCTGGATCTGTACACGCCAGCGAGAAGAAGAACACCAATAAAAGCATCCAGGCACTCCTCATCAATGTCCTTCCAAGTGTCACCGTGAACTTTTTTCCCTTCGAGGTTTGTCATAGCAATGATGACTTTCTTTAGTGACAATGGCATAAACAAATCAAAGCATGTCTTGATGTCACTTACTCGTGTCACAGCAAACCTTGTAATCCCAGGGGTCATCTTCATAACATTTTCAGCAGCTTCCCTGCCATGTGAAACAGGAGGAATCGCACTCCAAGTGATGTTACCCTTTTTGGATTTATAGGTTTCAGTTACAGGAGCAGCTTCAGCACCTGTGCCCTCCTCATCCGATGAGTCTGTGTACTCTGATTCATATTCAATAGCATTGTCCTCCTCAGAAACTGGCTCATCTGTGTCACTAGGTGTGTCCTCTGCATCATTTTCAGCAAGGATGTGATCTAGAGCTTCTTGTACTGTGAATGTTCTCTTCATTTTGGTATGCAGCCAAGCTCTAGGTAAAATGGAGTGTCTGTTTCTACATGTCTCTACATGCCCATGTAGAGACACACCCAGGTGGGTGTGTCTATCTAGGTCTGCCTAT